CCCCAAAACCCCAAAACCCCGTAGGTTGAATTTATGTTAGTGATTAAATTAAAGAAATTAATCTAAGTCAAATATTGTTGATTATTGTGATTGATGTATGATTTATAGTAATCATATCTTGATTGCTGGAGGCTTGTATTCTTAAAGTTCATAATCACCATATCTGATATCGTATCTTATGAATTATCTCTCCATTGATGATAATTTCTTTTCATACCTCGTGGCATCAAAGGTATTATTGCTGAAGCCTATTCTAGAGAGGAAGCTAAGGCAGAGCATGGAGTAAGCCTGATAGATCTAATCATTGCCAGTCCTAGGTCTCCACCCTGCCAAGACATAGAGCTCCATTGGAATCAGAGATATTAAATCGCACTAGTGAAGATGTCCTGCATGTCTAAACACTACATTTTCCTATCTCTGATCTTTGGTATATTTATGTAAGTCCTTAAGGGTGTTCCAGCTTTCAAATAAACACACAGGATGAAAGAGTTCATTTGAGCAGGTCATATAAGGTTTCTCGAGAAAGAACTCTCCAGCATTGATTTCCTTGTGATAAGCATAAAGCCACGGATCAAGAGTAAAACACGCCTTAACTCTTGCATCAGCTCTTGATACCGATATTGCTGTAATACCACCGAATGAATGACCACTGCAGATAAACTTGTCAAGATCTAGTTTTATTTGCTTTGGAAACTTAAGCTGATTTTGCAGCAGCTGTTCTTAATCATAAATCTCATCTATAAGTGCTTCTATTTCTTGCTCTCTGATCTTCATTTATGTCCTTCTGAGCTCATAATCATAAGCGAGATCTCTACTGTGATAATAGTTCTCTTTACCATCTTTGTCATAAGTATATGAAGAAGTCCCATCTTTATGATCCAATATGAATACCATATAACCACTGCTGGCTAGGTCTTTGCAAGTGCCACTATGCATAGTTCTGTTTGAACTCAGGCCATGGCAGTAAACTAAAGGAATAATAGGCTTGTTATAGAAATCCACGTCTATTTCACCATTCTAGACTACATTCATCATTACTTTTCTAAGGTGCCTGAAAACTTGGATAGAGACGTGCTTATCTGAACCATAAGAGCCGCTTGCCTTAGCTATACCTAGCAAAGTTTTATCACCATCTCTGAGCCAACTGACATTATTTCTGCCTACCATTCGCTTGTGGTGATCCTTATTTATTGGATAGTAAACTGACACTGCATTATCGTATTTCTAAGTCTTAAATTCCTTATATCCAACTTCATAGGGACCAATTGCTTTAGATCTGTTGAATGTGACCTCTCCAAATAATACCAGTAGTACAACTGAAAAGGATGTAAATATAAGGCCTATTATGTCAACCACTATGTTTGAGCCATTGATCAGGAACACAATGCCTTAAACTAAAAATCCCAGGATGAAGGGGAACTGGTGCATTCTTAGCCCTTCTATAATATATCCTAACACCAGTAGGAGTATTATAGTGCCAAAGAGTATGTATTGTGAATAGTGATGTTCTATAATAGAATGGGTGTAATACCCAACTCCTATGAGGTATTAAAGTCTTTCGCAAATTCTCATTATATTAATATGTAATTAAAAGTGGAATGACGTCTTTAAATCAGAAATTTTATCTTACAGTAAGATTATTTTAATTCTGTCAAAATCTGTATCACGGGGTTTTGGGGTTTTGGGG